GCAGGGAGGCTTGGCGTCTGGCAACAACTGATGGAAGAAATGGTCGCTTGGTCCTGTAATTGGATGAGTCGTCTGCTCTGGCGCCGTGGCGGGAAAGCTCTTTGTACTGGATCTCCAGACGACACAGGAGGTGCCAGATAGTCGAGCTGCAGCAGGTTTTGGTTACACTTCTCGTCATTGTCCTGGTCATTACCGCCGAGATAAGGCCAGGCTTGGCGCCGGCAGCCATTGTCCAGCTGACGGGCTATCAACGGGGCGTGGCCAAGTCGCGTGCCACAGCGTGAGTCCGCAGGGTCGGGGAAGTGGGGTGGAAGGGGGGGGGGGGGGGAGAATTGATTGTTTTAAGCCGCGGGCTGTCTCCGTGGGGGAGGGGTGGCAGATGGCTGGGGCGGTGATTTGGTTTTGTGGTCAACTATGATCGTATATTTCGGTCAACTATGATGGTATATTTCGGTCTACTATGATGGTATATTTCGGTCAACTATGATGGTATATTTCGGTCAACTATGATGGTATATTTCGGTCGACTATGATGGTATATTTCGGTCGACTATGATGGTATATTTCGGTCAACTATGATGGTATATTTCGGTCAACTATGATGGTATATTTCGGTCAACTATGATGGTATATTTTGGTCAACTATGATGGTATATTTCGGTCAACTATGATGGTATATTTCGGTCAACTATGATGGTATATTTCGGTCAACTATGATGGTATATTTCGGTCAACTATGATGGTATATTTCGGTCAACTATGATGGTATATTTCGGTCAACTATGAATGATGGTTTATTTCGGTCAACAATGATGGTATATTTCGGTCAACTATGATGGTATATTTCGGTCAACAATGATGGTATATTTCGGTCAACTATGATGGTATATTTCGGTCAACAATGATGGTATATTTCGGTCAACTATGATGGTATATTTCGGTCAACAATGATGGTATATTTCGGTCAACGATGATGGTATATTTCGGTCAACTATGATGGTATATTTCGGTCAACTATGAATGATGGTATATTTCGGTCAACAATGATGGTATATTTCGGTCAACTATGATGGTATATTTCGGTCAACTATGATGGTATATTTCGGTCAACAATGATGGTATATTTCGGAATTGATTAAAATACTCTGTTGACAGAGTTCAAACATCGATATTTTGGAAAAATATCGATGTTTTAAGAAAAATTCAACAGCAATTGAATTTCGGGGCTGTAGACTGAGGTGTGACGTCATTTTAGGGGGGGGGGGGTCTGGCTTTGGTAAACGGAAAAAAAGTCACAGGAAAAAAACAGAAAAAAAGTCACAGTTTTTGCTAGGAAAAAAAGTCACAGAAAAAAAAGTCAGTGGAAAAATTTTATCGGAAAAAAAGTCACAGAAATAAAGTCACAGAAAAAAAGTCACAAAAATCTTTTCAGAAATATTTTGATTTATTTGTTGAAAATAATAAAATTTTGTATGTTTATTGTTGTGGGTTGTATTTTTTATAGCATATATTATTTATAGACGTTAAAAGCATCATGGTTTATAACATGTGTAAGTAAAAATACTCTAAGATAATCTCAAATTTTGTTACGTATCTAGTTAATTACGTGGTAGAAAAATTAAGTATAAAAGAAATTTAGGCACAGCATTGTGTTTTGCATATGTTTTGCCGTAGGCTTATCTCTGGTCAGCCTCTCCTCAGTCGGCCTTGTCCGAACATATTGTGTGTTGTTGAAGTTTTGTGTCAATGACAGCCTTTGAGGCTTGTCGGCTTTCTGTTTTGATCCCATGCTTTGTTATGTAATGAGTGTGATAAATGTGGGCAGTAAAGGTGGTTGAACTAAACATAACTATTGTTGCGATGAGTTGGGGGCAGCAAGTCAGATGAATTTACCTTTTCACGGTAATTTAATGTTAGTATTTTAAAAGAACACGATGAAAACCGAGGACGTTGGAACATTCTATTAAATGCTATTAATATTATGTTTAGCATAATTACAATCTACATACTTCATACTAAATATTTTAGGATGAATTATAAAAATTACCATGCGTATACAACCTATACACATTACATTACATTAATTTATAATAAGTTAATTTGCACTCTCTGAATATATAATTCATAAAAGTATTAACAAATTGCATGCAAATATATATTTGTGACTTTTTTTCCTGTGACTTTTTTTCTGTGGTTTTTTTTCCTGTGTTTTTTTTTCCTGTGACTTTTTTTCCTACAATCCTGGCTTTTTGTGACGACGTGTGACGGAGGGGAGGGGGAAGGTAAAAATCGTCCAAAAAAGTGTGACGTCATCTATGGATGGCCCCTTTCTAACGGCGTAGGTCGGCGTACTGACCCATCTCCACAGTTTATAACGGCGTAAGTCGGCTGTGGGTACGGCTCATTAAAAAAAAACAAAAAAACCCACGATCTAATATCGGCATATTGTGGAGGGGAGGCGTGACGTCACACCACGCGAGCTAGACAGCGGCTAGACATGACGTCACCGAATGTTGACTGGGTGACGAGTCAAGAGTCAGATGTCGCTCATTAGACGAACATCCGAGATTAGCAGATTACTATTGTAATCCACTTGATGGATCTCTTCTGTCAGACCGTCTCGCCATACATGACCCCTCCCCCCCCCTCGCATGGACAAAATAAGTACACAAATCTGTGGCCAGGCAGGAGAGCAACATACGGTGTATGTGTGTGGTTGTATGTGGTGGGGGATATAACATATACGTATAGTTGGTGTGTGGTGGGGGGGGGGGGGGTTAACATGCAAATATAAATATATCGCTACAATCACACATTCACATTACTTCCATATATATATATATATATATATATATATATATATATATATATATATATATATATATATATATATATATATATATATATATATATATATATATATATATATAAATGGGTGGGGGGCCTTAAATTTTTTTGCGGGGTAGCCTTTTTTTTCTAGTTCCGTCACTGACAAGGTTGCGAAATATGTTTTTCTAACTCAGGGAGGTGTAAAACGTAGAGATTTGCAAAAATCTCGATTTTTTTTTTGCACGATTGCAAGACTTTCTCTATACTTTGTATATATGAGAAAGTAAAAACAGCATACATTTTATATTTATTTATAATCTAGACAAAATTAATTTAAAACTGGTTTTTAAAATGTAGGCATGTTTCGTTTGTTTCCTCAGTCGGCCTTGAGCGCCCACATTGAGTAGGTCGTAGGTGACTTTTTGTGGTCAGGTCGGCCAAATAACTTAAACAAAATGTGTTAATACTAATTCATGAATGTACAATTTTTAAAATACCCAATAAATAAGTTTAAATTATGCTTATTTTCTACATCATATTGTGCATGTAGATTTTGTGATACAAAAACAGACGAGTTTTAATTTCTGGTTTTTCTTTTTAATATTTATTTGACCCTTTCATTAATTACAGGACAGGGGTCATCCACTTATGACGTCGACACGGGAGGATGGGTCTAAAATTCCAAATTATCGTGGACGTCATAAATGGAAGATCCCTTTGACTCGGGAACAGAGGATCCCGCGATGAACGACAAGCCAAGGTAGACAACCAATTTTTTCCACTAAGTCGTTGTGCCCAACGTGAATTACTGCCCCTTTCACCAAAGCAGTTGTTGCGCTGTTACAAGTAGAAAAAAAAATCATTTCAAGCTCCACACAATTTGAATTGTTCCCAATGAATGTTTTTAACTTTAACGGGTGAAATCAGAGACTTGACGGCAATACATGTCTCCTAGACCCAATGTGTTGAAGGTAAATATGTGGTAACCCAGTCAGTAGAATAGTAGAGGGCAGAGGGTTAGTGCGGGTCCAGTAAAAGGCGATACTGGTTGACCGAAATTTGAAGAAAATTTAACCAGGCTTTCTAGATTTAAAATAAACTTTTTTCTACAAAATTAATAAATTGTACCTAATGGATAAACCAAATTTTATCTAACAGATAAACCCAACTTTTGTCTATAAGTTTAGTAAACAGGTGGGCCTAAACTTATTTTCTATTAATTGTACCTAACAAATAAACCTATATTTGTCTATAAAATTAGTAAATTGTACCTTACAGATAGAACAACTTTTCCGTTCTCCTCCTCTGTTACTTTCTAAATACATTGAAACAATTCACACTTGAAGCGCTTGGGTTAGTTATCTTGATAATGTAGTTGGATCACATTTTTAATTAAAACGTTTAAAGTATTAATCGTTGATTCTAATCTGAGTCACACCGTGGTATGTTGTTAGCTTGAAGAAAATTGTCTGGACAACTGATGGGACCACCACGGCCTGTGTCAGTGTCTCAACTCCACAATGTCTTCAATCTCAGTCTTGTTACACGTGGACGGAATTTGTTCTTTCATGACCGGCTCACCCAATCATAGAGGGCTACGTCACATAATAAAAACCAGGCAGGTGGAGTAGAGTTCACCGGTTTCCGTAAAGAGATCGTATTATCAGCACTATGCTTGGTGGCCTTTATTTTCCCTAACACGAGACTGGTAACAACAATAGATGGATGGAATCTGATGTCCTACACACCGTCCCTTTATCACACCATAGTAGCCACTCTTTGTCCCTTTATCACACCATAGTAGCCACTCTTTGTCCCTTTATCACACCATAGTAGCCACTCTTTCAATACTAAGGAGTTGTGAGAGCCTTATGGTTTGTCAGCATCTTACACACAAACTTCTTTGGTGCAGATACATAGGTATTTTTAATAAAGGGTACCGACAGTACAATCACTCAATGGAACCTCAGCCTGAATAATTCAGGCAATACAATCACTCAATGGAACCTCAGCCTGAATAATTCAAACACCATCATACCCTAATCTACATGGGACATAGGCAAGGTCATCTCAACTAACCTATGAAATCCACTATCAATTTGAGTATTAAATTTGTAGGCAAATGAGTTTACTTGTACAGCTACTGAACATAAGATAGAAACAAGGCAAGATATTCTTTCCAAAACTTTATTAGATGAAAAACCCTAAGTTTAAAAAACAGTGGTACCAAAAAAAAAAAAAATTACATGGAACTAATTATTTGAAAAAATCTTGAAGTAGCGCAGAGCGTCCATTATCATTAGAGTACATGCTAACTGCAGGATGGAAATGGTTGCCAGCTTGAAATAAGGAGGTCGCCCTACAGACACCAACAGCAGGCCACATTGTGTACAATAATACTGGAGCCATTAGACTAGATCAAACCACTGGGGACCTTTGCTACTCATGTCTACAGGACGCAGCCACTTGTTTGATAAATTTTAATTTGCTATTTCATCTGACAATAGCTAGTCATCATGTGACATACTAAAGTACCACACCACTGATGATGTGACATGACACCACACCACTGATGAAGTGACATGACACCACACCATTGATGATGTGACATGACACCACACCACTGATGAAGTGAAATGACACCAAATAGTAATTGTCACACAAAGAAAGCTATTGACCAAGTTACATCATCTTCTGTAACTAAATGGAATATTTTCCTTCATGTAAAAAAAATAATGTACAGAAATTTTGTGAGGAAAGAATGCATTTTTTTTTGTGTGGACAATATATGGCAGAGGGACCTGAACAAGAGACACACTAACAGAACTGGGGCAGCATTTCATGGCAAACATGTCCTAGATCAGCAGGACATACTGGGATAAATCCCAACATGACCTAGATCAGGACATACTGGGATAAATCCAAACATGTCCTAGATCAGTAGGACATACTGGGATAAATCCCAACATCTCACCCATTGGTACTAGACTACATGGGTGTTGTTTATAAGAATTTAAAAAGTGCAATATTTCAAGTACCATAAGTCAGGAAGATCTAGTCAAGGAGAAAAAAAAATGACAAGATTAACTCCCTTTAAAAATGCATGATAAAAAAGCCCAGTGCACTAAACTGCCTATAGGAGAAGTAAACTGACAAACACTTGAAGAAACACTAAAAAATGACACAATGTGTTTTCCTGGCGAATGTGTAATAATTTCCTGTATGACTTGAGTGGCAGGCCTAGCCTTCACTGCAGCTCCCCTCCTCACTCCCCTCGCTGGAGGACAGCCTACGTCTGCCCCCCTCAGCCTCGTCATCGTCACTAGATTCACTCTCTGACTCCGAGTCTTTCTCAATGGTGTAGGCCATGAAGAGAAGGTCTTGCGATGGGCTGACCACAAGTGGGTGGGCCGGTGGCAAAATTTGAAATCCAAAGAAGTTAAAAACCCTCAATAGAGAAACTGTAGAATAGAAATGTCACTACAACATCGGTTTTACAAGGGCACTTTATACAGCCGTTATACAAGTGAAACCAAATCTAGCTGGATACAGATTTAAACTACAGCAGCAGCTAATTGTGCCAATAAAAACTACTTACAACACTTCCCCTTGGTTCTCTATCAGCAGTCCTTCACTCATCTTTGGCTCACATTTATAACAACTAATCATTGCAAGTTTACTCATGTACATAGGCCAAACCCTAAAGCCCACCAACACGACCAAACCCTAAAGCCCACCAATATGACCAAACCCTAAAGCCCACCAATATGACCAAACCCTAAAGCCCACCAACATGACCAAACCCTAAAGCCCACCAATATGACCAAACCCTAAAGCCCACCAATATGACCAAACCCTAAAGCCCACCAATATGACCAAACTTTCAACATATTTCATAACAATTTTCAATCTTATAAAAGAAAAACTAGCTGCCTGTCTTTTCACACCACCAGTTGATATTTAAAACACAGAAAATATTCAGAATTGAACGCCATACACAAAACCACTAATATTTATTTTGAGTAATTATTTGTGAAAGATAATTAGTTTCTAAAAAAAAAAGTATTCCGGAAAAAAAATTCAATAGTCAAGAAAATAAATAATTACTGTTTATGAATTCTTATTCATAGAAAACGAAAGAAAAAAATTTTTTCTCCAAAAATTAAGATAGTATTAGGATAAATATTATAATTTTGGTAATTATGCAACACTTCAAACTAAACATTTATGCCACTGTACATGGTGAACTAAACATTTATGCCACTGTACATGGCGAACTAAACATTTATGCCCATGAACAGTTTTGCAGTGTTAAAAACAAATTCTATAAAACACTAAATCAGTCCAACAAGAAAACTACAAGATTTAAACAAAAAGGCCGCTTTAGCAATATCAGGACATAAATTTAAGATTAAAAAAACTTTAATATTTTAGTTCAACAGGATTTTTTGAGATCGTGCCTGTCTATTAATTAAAAAAAAAAAGTCTGTTATCATTTACAAATTTGAACATTTAAAACAAGCTAGTAAGTTCAACTGGTCCCTTCTCTATAGAAAGATGTAATGTTGTACAATAAAAAATTGATAATTAAAATGTGTTTCTTGCTTTCAAGCAAGCTTTAGTCTAAAATGGAATGTGTAAATTGGGTTCAAATCTTAAAAGACATGACAGTAGAGTACAGGCACAATCTTGTAATCATGTTCTCTACAATACACCTTGCTTATCTTGTCAAATGTAAGCTACCAATTCCCTGGTGTGACAAGTTACAACAGACTAAAGATGAACCCATTCACTTACCACGGTCTGTCCTGTTCTTGTTGAAGCATAGGACCACATGTTTACATTTGAGTTTTTCTTCTGCGTATTCCAAAAGTGTCACCAAGCTGTAAATATCATCTCAAGTTAACCAAACCAAAATTTGATGTATCCCATGTACATTACTAGAATTTACCAGCAGAAAATGTGTTCTGATGACATCCACCAACACCCCAAAAAATGTGTTCTCATGACATCCACCAACACCCCAAATAAAATGTGTTCTCATGATATCCACCAACACCTAAAATTGTTTACCTTTCTATAAGCTTTTATTTAGTTGACAATGGGTGTTTGTGGGTTTATGGAAAATCTTTTAACTCAATTATGACACTTCTACAGCAACAATTTCAATTTACATATGCATTACTCCCTAATAGCCTAATTTTTAAATCTAATTTCTTCTTCGTTCTTAATTTTTGGGTTGGAAGGGATCCAACTCCAGCATTAAGTATACATGTCAACTGGTTATGCGCCATTGACTCCAATTTCAGCCTGCTTTTCTGTTGGATTTGCTTCTATAGCCTTTGTCCAACCAAGAACAAACTACAGGCAGCAGTTGTTTGATGTTGGAGTTGTCTCTCCTAGAAGAGTGGCTGTCCCCAGTTAACGAGCCTCATCTGCCAGAGGTTTCGAACTTTTCAATTAAACAGCAATGAGCTTTACAGACTCTGCCACGCCTACTCTGCCACGCCTACTGTGCGCTTTTTTTAAGCATTTAAAATAATTTTTTTATAGAAATATTAAAAGTAGTGTTTTGTTTACATTTCTCTGGGATTAGTATTATTTTATTTATTATTAATAAACTATTATGCTATTTAACCTCACACAAACTTTAATGAATTTTGTGTATAATGTTTTTTTTTATAGTGCAAGTGGTTATTTAAACAAGTGCAATGGTTGAAGACGCATCATCTTTTCACCCGGCCATAGGGGAAGTAAAAGTTTTGATGCCCCAGCTGGTAAAGGGTTAAATTAGACAAAAATTAATTTAAAGACAACTAAATTCAACAACATCAGGGATAATAACAGGATTAATCTCAAGCAAAAGCTTGATGAGTCTGTGTAGGTAACTGTGTAGTTGGTTTCAGTTGGTGTGTCTGAGCTCAACTAAAGAAATGAGAAGTGTTTTGTTGTTCATCTACTACAGGTCATAGAAATCTAAACATGCCGAGGATAATTTTTTTTCACTTAAAGAAGAAGTTACAACTAGGAATAGCTGCTACTTCAAAATGACAAAATAAATGGTCAGCTGTACAACAGTCATAAAGTCGTGCTGTATTTCTGTGCCCTATAATGAGGTGAGCTTTGACTAATGGCTGTGTTCACCTTGACTGAACAACTCTACATACAGAAACACTGAACATCATATACCTTTCTTTAGATCCTTCAGGTAATATCCCAGCAGGCAACTCCACGTAAAGAGAATCTTTCACTAGAGTTGTCTCCCAGGAAACCACCAGTCCGGCCACAGGTGATATCTTGAAAGTCAGACTTGAAGACGCCTGTGGACACAAACATTGGTATATCATTACTGAGAGCAACAGTTACAAGAATCCAATTCAATACACTAACATGGCAACTGTCTAGAGCAATGATGGCTGTACAAATGTTGTACCAGCAGTGTGCCTGCATGAAACTAATATGTTATTCATAACTATTAGTTTGTCTAGGTAACATCAATGTTACCAGCATCACTACTAGATCTATTCACTTATGTTTGTAGTCTGTCAGTATTTAGACTTTTCATTACAAACCAATGCATATACCACCAACAATTAGTTTCAAGAACTATTTTATTCTCAGAAATTAGTGATGAATCATGCAAAGGTCTTACCGGCGCGGCATTCTTGCGAGCTGAATTGTTGAAATCATTCAGAAAATTATTCACACTGACAGGGGGCACTTTTGTAACCCCCACGTCGTTGCCCTCTGCCAAATCTGTCCGGCATTCTAGAGCGACGTGGGGCACATCAGGACCACCACAGAGGCCCAGGGCCGAGAGATATAATACACTTCCTACTACTGGTGCTGAAATAAATAAAGAGAATATATTTTTCTAAAATAACTGACAAAATAAACAAATCTTGAATGCATAAAAGCAATGTTAAAAGCAATTCAATGTACAACAGTTATTTTAATGGTACCTGTTTTGGTGTTTTGTTGGATGAATTTTTCAGAGTTGTAAAAAAAAAATATTTGGATTTTTTATTTGTGTATATTTTCAATGTATTGCCCTTTGACATAATACTATAGTGCTTAGTTCAGTTAATCAATATGAATTAATTTTTAATTGGCTTTGTTAAGTAGATTCCTCAAAGTAAATTAATGATTTTCAAATTCAAACGGGTTAATTTAAAGTATAGCTTTAATTAGGCTTAAAATATCCAATTTGCAGAAGTTCCATCATTTAAATATCTATACCTATATTACTACACAACTAGGATTTGAGTAGGGTAATGTATGTTAATGGCAATTTTCAAAGCTATGCTGCATGAGAGGGTAGTCTCAGATCAAAGTGTGACAAGCAGTAATCCATTTATCACAACCGCACAGGTGTGTGTATGTCTGGACCCATGTGGTCGTTTACATCTAATTTAACATAAGTGTTTTCCTTTTTAAATTAATCTTGTATAGGCCTATAATAAGTAAAAATTTAAATTGCAGTGCTTTGCTGTTTTATTTAAAAAACCCAACTCAACATGTAAATAAATCTTTGTGCCCCCCCCCCTCCCCCCCAAAGAGATGCTTGAAAGAAAATCTGCATGCAGACTATTTTAATGATTAGATAAATTAGGTGGTAATCTTAGTGTCTTCATTATAAAGTATAGATGTCATTATTGTGTATTTTTTTCAGCAATGGCTTTTTAATTCTATGTTTACTCTAGAATCAATAATGTCATTTTATTGTGTGTACTTTTCCGTTAGGGCCTACATATTTCATTTCATTTTGAAAACTTCCTTTACGGTGCATGTGACATCAGGGTCTTTCACTAAGCATCATTTAAATTTCCTTGTATTTTCTCTAGAGCTTTCCAGACAAAGTGACAGAACAGAATAACAATTTTAGTTAATGACTTCAAGATTTGTGATTTTCACCTCCTGCCCCCTCCCCAACCAGGTGACATAACAGGCCAGAACCCAATGCTTAACTTAAGCATACCATCCCTCTCCAAACTGCTAACCCTGAGTTTAGGCCTCCTATAAATCAGGTTTCAAAATTAATTTTAAAAAATACATTTGGCTTGGAGCCAGGATATTAGATGGCTAAAAAGTAAAAATGGATGTTTTAAAATATTGGCTTTAGGTCACTTTAAGAAGAGGTTCTAGATAAGATTGAGTCTAGTTCAGTCTAGTAATGAAATATTATTAGACATCTAGATCTAGATACTAATACTACAACTCAGAGTCTGATGCCTGCCTGCTATTAGGAGGTTCTTGAGTAAATCTTGACTAATCAGTCACTAGTTTTGTGAGGTACCCACCCACTTTTCTTTACGATAACGGATAAATCAATCCATAGCTAATTAATTCTTACTTTCATATTATACAATTTAATGAATTAAGGTTGCAATTTTCTAATAAATAACGTTGTTCGAAATTGAAATAAAGATTCAAAACCATTTTAAACAAAGATCTCTAGATCTATATTTAAATAATTTTGTAAATAGATCTAGATTCTCATATTCTTTATACTACGACGTAGATTAAATCTGGGTCAATGGGAAGCCATCTTGGATTGGGTAACTGATCAGTAAACTTACATAATTTTATCATTAAAATAAATTGGACGACAGTTTACCTGTTGTCCTTATGTAAGGCTGGCATGTTTTCTTTTTCTTCTTCCTCCTGGGGACCAAAATTCTCGTCAATAACGATAGCGTCGGATGCCTTTAACATTGCTCAATTCACCGTCCTCTCATGGGAGAAGTTGATGACGTTCTACTGAATATATCACGTGACTTCCTGTTCACAAATTAAAGAAGAAAATTCATGCACTGTCAGCTGATTACTATTGACTTCAGGTGTCACTTAATAAAGGCTATCACTAAATATATTCTCTCATCGCTATCAAATTGTTTAGGCTTTAAAATTCTTTGTGACAAAATGCCAAGTAGTTTGTTTTAGTAAGCATTCACTAGCCATACTATGCTTAAGCTATTATATATATATATATATATATATATATATATATATATATATATATATATATATATATATATATATATATATATATATATACTTTTTTGTCAAATTTTGTGTACTTTTTGATAACTTTATCGTGTAGACTTCAAATCAGACATGTGCAGATAATGTTTAAGTAGTCGTGTAGAAATGACTAGAATCTACGCGTTTTTACGAATCTCCTTTATGCATTGTCAGTAGAGTTTCTTCCAGGCATCTCTTCTACCGCCCCCCCCCCCTAACGAAATGAAATTTATATAATTTATATAGAAAATATATACTTTTAACAGTCAGAAAAGACCAAACTCATCAAAAAATCTGAATGACGTAAAACATGCATTTCCTTCCTCTCCTCTTCTACTGACCCGAATAGAAAATTTATTATCAACAGAATTCTTTTTTCTTCTGAATATTATGAGGCCTATAGATGTCGGTATAGGCTACTTATCCATCATTTGTTTTTTTTACAGAAATCTTTCTAAAAGGCAAACAAAAAAAAGAGAGATAATGTTCCGTTATAAAAACAATCTTTTTATCATACTTAATTAAGAGTAGCGTCACATTTCCCGACCCCTTTTCCCCTCGTCACATAATGTCCCATATCGTGTGACGTGATATGTTATATATATATATATTATATGTTATATGTTATATGATATATATATATATATATATATATATATATATATATATATATATATATATATATCCCGATTTTGTTATCTTCTTTGTGTAGGGGCTAAGATTATGTTAAAAAGGCGTAGATTGTTATTATTATTATCGATTTTGATATGGCCTGAGCATGGTTGAACTCTGACCCTTATGCTAACCAAAAGTTTTAGATTTATTGCATCCTTAGGGACTCGAACACATGCATTACAATACCAGAGGCGTAGCGACCCTTCCCTAGCTGTGGGCAAAACTACACATTTATACTTATGCCTATACTGGCCTATTGATATATTGATATTCAACTTTAAACTACGGTTATGGTTTAAAAAATGAATACAAATGATTAACCCTAATCAAATGTCCTGGATTAGTTGTTCAGCCAAAGCTCAGGATATCACCCAAGGCATCACCCAAGGCATCACCCAAGGCATCACCCAAGGCATCACCCAAGGCATCACCCAAGGCATCACCCAAGGCATCACCCAAGGCCTGTAATGGTGAAATCACGAGAGCTAATGCTTAATGTCGACTTTTGGACATTCTCGCTGTAGTCGTCTGCATACACATGTTGTCCTCAACACACACCATTTTGACTTCGGCACAATCCTTATTTATATATATATATATATATATATATATATATATATATATATATATATATATATATATATATATATATATATATCGCTCTCTCTCTCTCTCTTTCTGTACATTATGTACATGCTGACCTAAAAAATAAAATATATTTGAACTCAAGATACGACACCCAACATTTACATAGCCCGCCCCCACCCCCACCCCCACCCAACATTTACATAGCCCACCCCCACCCCCACCCAACATTTACATAGCCCGCCCCCACCCCCACCCAACATTTACATAGCCCGCCCCCACCCCCACCCAACATTTACATAGCCCACCCCACCCCCACCCAACATTTACATAGCCCACCCCCACCCAACATTTACATAGCCCACCCCACCCCCACCCAACATTTACATAGCCCACCCCCACCCAACATTTACATAGCCCACCCCACCCCCACCCAACATTTACATAGCCCACCCCACCCCCACCCAACATTTACATAGCCCGCCCCACCCCCACCCAACATTTACATAGCCCGCCCCCACCCCCACCCAACATTTACATAGCCCGCCCCCACCCCTACGCAACATTTACATAGCCCACCCCACCCCCACCCAACATTTACATAGCCCGCCCCACCCCCACCCAACATTTACATAGCCCGCCCCCACCCCCACCCAACATTTACATAGCCCGCCCCCACCCCTACGCAACATTTACATAGCCCACCCCACCCCCACCCAACATTTACATAGCCCGCCCCACCCCCACCCAACATTTACATAGCCCACCCCACCCAACATTTACATAGCCCACCCCGCCCCCACCCAACATTTACATAGCCCGCCCCCACCCAACATTTACATAGCCCACCCCACCCCCACCCAACATTTACATAGCCCACCCCACCCCCACCCAACATTTACATAGCCCACCCCCACCCAACATTTACATAGCCCACCCCCACCCAACATTTACATACCCCGCCCCCACCCAACATTTACATAGCCCACCCCCACCCAACATTTACATAGCCCGCCCCCACCCAACATTTACATAGCCCACCCCCACCCAACATTTACATAGCCCACCCCTACCCAACCCATGCAACATTTACATAGCCCGCCCCCACCCCTACGCAACATTTACATAGCCCGCCCCACCCCCACCCAACATTTACATAGCCCGCCCCCACCCCCACCCAACATTTACATAGCCCGCCCCCACCCCTACGCAACATTTACATAGCCCACCCCACCCCCACCCAACATTTACATAGCCCGCCCCACCCCCACTCAACATTTACATAGCCCACCCCACCCAACATTTACATAGCCCACCCCACCACCACCCAACCCATGTAACATTTATATACCCCACCCCCTCCCAACATTTAAATAGCCCACCCCACTGCCCCTAACACTAACCACAGCACAAGTTAAATCGAAATAAATGTTGAGATTTTGAAATTTCATTTTGGGAATCCCATGGTTTTAGGCAGGAGTGGGGGTCTGTTTGGGAATAACAAAGTTTTTAGAGTGTGGGGTGAATCTGTAGATCCAATGGAAACAATTGGAAAGAGATTCGAAAATAAATGTTTGAGTGTGTAAGCCGGGTCAGCCTATTATATTTACAAAAGCATTCTATAACGCTCTCTAGATATTATAAATATAATAACCTTAATATATTCCTCTGAGCCAGCTTCTCACAAATAAGGAACACATTACACAACGAGAAACTGTCCTTCCCTCCTAAATGGTATGTAATTTGTGAAAGTGCAACATTCCATATAGTAATGTAGAAAAATGATCGATCAAATAAAACTAGGTTTTTTATATAGTTTATATTTAATTTTATAAAATTGGCTCATAAGAGTGACATAACATTAACATTACCGAAGAAAGACTGGTCTAGGTTTAGTTGATGATAGTGGTAAAATGTGTAAGAATGCTTTCTATTCACTACACCGTTTGATTTTTGCCTCCTTTACTACACGGCGTTCCGTGTGTTCTCGAAGTTTCAATTCTTAACGTATAAAAATTCCTTTAATTGTGCTTTCAGTAAACAAAAATCGATTTGAAAATCTGCAATTTAAAAGAATATGTTAAAAAGTATGTTTTAATTGTTTTTGATTGAACACTTTTTCACAGCTATTAAAAAATATATCGCCTTTGTTAATGGCCTTGTTTATTTTTCCGATGACCTAATTTTACAGCGGCCTTGAATAGAACTAAACTATAAATAAACTTAACCACAGATATGAAGAGGGGGAGGGGAGGGAGTGGATTGTGAACGCAAAAAAAAAAAACAGGTCGGTAATAAATTGACAGTTTTTTTGTTTTTTTTTTGCTAGAAAAAAATCACAAAGACTAAAACTTGTCAAGAGGAAGACTCAGAAATAAGGTAATAGGAAAAAGTCTCCAAAATATTCTCAGAAAAATCGATATAGGCCTACTAGTCTACATGTAGATGTAGAATGTGATTGAAATATCTTTTTGCGTTAAATAAATGTGGTATTTTTTTTTAAAGTCTACATAGTAGTACTAGTACACATAGCCCTATCTTAATACCACATTAATACAATTTACTTAAAACATTTTAAAATTAGCATTAAGTTGAATGAAATTGATCTTGATTTACGCTTAGTAAATGCATCAGCAAAGTCTATGCTTAACTTGAGTGTGACTGAATTTCCTGATTTTTATTTATAATAGTGCGCGCGTGTGTGTGTGGGGAGGGGGTGTACATAGGTTTAGCTTAGGGGGGGGGGTATATGGTAAATAAGGATTGTGCCGAAGTCAAAATGGTGTGTGTTGAGGACAACATGTGTATGCAGACGACTACAGCGAGAATGTCCAAAAGTCGACATTAAGCATTAGCTCTCGTGATTTCACCATTACAGGCCTTGGGTGATGCCTTGGGTGATGCCTTGGGTGATGCCTTGGGTGATATCCTGAGCTTTGGCTGAACAACTAATCCAGGACATTTGATTAGGGTTAATCATTTGTATTCATTTTTTAAACCATAACCGTAGTTTAAAGTTGAATATCAATATATCAATAGGCCAGTATAGGCATAAGTATAAATGTGTAGTTTTGCCCACAGCTAGGGAAGGGTCGCTACGCCTCTGGTATTGTAATGCATGTGTTCGAGTCCCTAAGGATGCAATAAATCTAAAACTTTTGGTTAGCATAAGGGTCAGAGTTCAACCATGCTCAGGCCATATCAAAATCGATAATAATAATAACAATCTACGCCTTTTTAACATAATCTTAGCCCCTACACAAAGAAGATAACAAAATCGGGATATATATATATATATATATATATATATATATATATATATATATATATATATATATATATATATATATATATATATATATATATACAATGGGCTACTATCATGGTTGACTAAATGGAGTCAGGCACGTACGCCGGCGGTCAGCGGATCGATTGACCTGCAGCACCCTATAAGCTCCATGGCGCCTACATTTGTTTAAAGAGCACCCTACAATAGGCACACGGTG